ACAATCAGATTATGAATGAACAGTATGACATTCATCAACATTGAAATATATTTTATTATCAAAATAATATTTAACTGTTATCACAACTTAGTGCAACTGTAGAAGCTTGCTCTGTTCTCTCACTGAAATCATAACTTTTACCACGTTTTTTTACAGACAATATTGAGAGATAAATAGCAGTTGTCACTAATAGCTTTGCCTTCAATATCTTAAATTAGAAAGCTGACAGTCATATTGCTTGTTAACATCTAAATGTAACCCTTTGCATGGAAAAAACCCTCAACTTCACTGATGTGTAGGTGATCTAGTATTTAGTATTGTTTAATGGAATGTATATCAGTGTATTAAAGTCAATACTTCATTTATTTAAACCAATATCTTCTTGATTCTTTGTACAGTATGAAAAAAGAGTATTTGTACCTGTGCTGAAGTTCACTGCTGTGAGGAGTCCAGTTCTGTCTCTCACTCTCTGGTCCATCCTGTCTGCATCACCTGGAAACTTTAAACAAACAGATATTATGTAAAGAACCATGTGTACAAACAATATAACTTATTCTCTTCTGTTGAACATGTTGGATTGTGTATTGTCCGAGTCAGGGTTCTTTTTTTTTTACTGTAACTTTGGAAGTTGTGTTACCAATGCTGTTGTGTTACTGTTTATTTGATACCAATTTGGTAATGCAATTAATAAAAACAACAACGTTTGGGTTCGTTCTTCAGATGACTGTGACGTTAACGTGTAAACTCAATAATGAACTCCAGCTCAACCAACCATATTGTAATATCTAAGTAATCATCTTGAAATATGACATTAATAATTGTAATATACACACATCTTATTGTGAGGTTGATTTCACATACACTACTTCGACGTTAGCTTGTCTACATACTTGAGCATAGCCAATTTAAATTAACCTAAGCGATGCATAAAGTTCCTACCTACATAATAAAATATCTCTCTAAGTTACAAGGATTACCTTATTTTATCAACCTCAAACAGAAGCCGTTTGTTCTACAGTACTATCTCACTTAACGCTTAACACTTGTCTATTTCATTTTAACCTTTATATATACAGTCTATGGTTTTAAGTTAACTTGGAGGATACGATTAGCATCGTTAGCACCGATGTAGCTACCACTCACTTACACGATAACCCAAGCCTTAACATTCATTACGTGATTAAAATCATAAACACATAAATAAAGTACTCGAATTTCACTTACCGCAAAACGGCATTCATGCACCGTCTGTTTTAACCGCAGAGCGAGTCACAATAGTCCGATATATAAGCATGAAGAACAAACAAACACGGCCGGGATCAAGTTGTGTTCCCTGGATGAACTGACCAGGCAGAGTCCCTGTAGCTTCACGGACGGAGCAGCTAGCAGAGAGACAAAAAGCTAACAGCAGCAGTCACCTGACAGAGCTGTCACTCAATGTGACCACGCCCTAATTTATGCAAAAACTTTAAGACCTAATATAAATAAAAGGGTCGTGTTAGAAAACAATTCACTCACAGATCCATAATCATGAAGGTGGAATCTAACTATATTTAATAATATTTATTGGATCCATAGGTAGAAACATGTTTTTTTAGGCTGTGAAATTGGGCATTTTAACATGGGGCTCTATGGAAATTGCTCCTTTCTGCAGTCAGCGCCTATCGGCCAATATATGAACTGCAGTTTGTGGCACTTCCGCATTGGCGTCCCGGCTCTTCCCCAGAGTTTGCCGCTTGGAGCAAACGCTTGCCTCGGGGAGGGAGAAAGAAAGCCACAGCGGAGAATAAACAGAAGGGTAACCATGGTAACCAAGTCTTCTTCGCTGCTTTTGTGGCAGACTCCAGCGCCACTTACAGGCCTGGCATATGTACTACAGCGTCTCTAGCGCTTTCGAACGGCAATGGCCGTGGCTGTCTCCTCCTGATTGGTGGAGTTGGCCCAATAGCCGTAGCGCCACCGTCCTGACGTCAGGACAGTGTTCAAATCTGGATCAGTTTTTATCAGATCCGTTGCAGCCCCTTTTTTAGAGATTTGGGTATGGAGGAAAATAGAGAGGGTTGTGTTTTCTGACACTTGGTGAGTTCCCTGGAACACCAGGGACACATATTCATGTATAAAAGACGTACAAAAGTGCATTTTGCATGATAGGTCCCCTTTAAGTAATGTAACCACAGTTAGTCTATGTCTTCTGATGTTAGTAACTATGTAGGCTAACATTAGTTAGGCTATGTGTTGTGGACTAATGCATTCAAGTTAGTTCACATTTGAGTTGTTATTGCCCCTGCTGACAATTGTGTGTATACTGTAATATGTAGCCTACAGTCAATGGAATTTCACATTTTGCTCTCCAATGTATGTTATTTTAATGTTGTCATTTAATTTCACTATAATTTTACTTTTCACATGTCACTTTATTCAGCTTAGTTATTTATTCAGTTTTTTATTACTGGTCAGGGCTCAACGCTAACTTTTAAAAGTGGTTGCCAGGCTGGCAACCAGGCATCAGCTTTTGGTTGCCAAAACTGAAAATACAGTTGCCATTTTTAGTCACCTTATATTTTAAATAATTAAGATACTATACAGTTATACATCAACTTAATAATGAAAATGTGACACAAAAGAATGTTCAAATGCTTTATAATAAGTCATTAACACAATTATTTGAAACTTAAAGTGGACCTATCATGCTATATTTGAATAATATATTGTAGGGCCATACCTATATAAAACATGTCTGTGAAGTTTTTTTTTCAAAATACCAAACAGATCATGCATTTTAGCCATGCCTCATTTTGCTCTATTTGCTCTATTCCAGCCCTGTCTTCACAAGGGCTGATTCTGTGGCAAATGAGCTGCAGCTGACCACGCCCCCCTGCAAAGGAGGAGGGCGAGGCACGAGCGTCATGTTACCATGCTGTTACCATGCTGTTACCATGCCACGCAACCTCTCATTCCCCTGATAGGTGGAGAGTTGCCCATATAGGCGGAGCACCCCGTTTCTGACGTCAGAACAATTTCAAATCTGTATCAGTCTGTATCAGCTCCGTTGCAGCCCCGTTTTTAGAGATTTGGGTATGGAGGAAAAGAGAGAGGGTTGTGTTTTCTGACACTTGGTGAGTTCCCTGACACACCGGGGACACATATTCATGTATAAAATACGTACAAAAGTGCATTTTGCATGATAGGTCCCCTTTAAGTGGTAGTAAACTTGTCCACCCTCAATTGCTGGTATACAAAATACCAGTAGTGCAGCTGTTGTCATGTTCTTCACAGATCCCTCACAAATGAATTGAGCAAGTCACTAGTTTCTTGGTCATCCGTTGTCTCCCTTTCAAATGTGGGTTTTCTTGACCTTTGTGCTGATCCCCACCATAGATCCATTGGCCCTTCAGCATTGAAGTCTTGATTGTGGTTCTGTCATTGGCCAGACTAATAAATGTCTAATGTTAAATAAATGAAAACCATTCACAGTTAAGAATTAGATATTAATTATTAATGCTGTAAATTACAACTATATTTAAAATGTGTTTTATAGAAGTGATTATATTTTTATGCCAATATTTTCCTATGGTAAAGTTTCGTTAAGCACTTTTATTTTGGTAGTAATAAGATCGGGACTCTTATTTTGAAGGAACTTTTACCGGAAGTGAATGGACAACGGAGGAGAATGTACATATATATTTCGCCTCCCAAGACTTTACACATTTCCTCTTCGCTTTCGTTCGGGTTCATCTTGCGCTTTATCAGTTGAATCACTTTGAAAATTAGTTTGAGATGTTGACGGGTTGGCCGAACTTTTTACTCCACAGTCAAACAACTTAATTTGCTTCGCCATTTTTTGTAAAACAAAAGGCGCGTTCACACCGGAGTACTTTGGAGTACTTTTCCCACAATAGTTCATCAGAACTACGATATATTTGCGTTCACACCAAAAAGCCCCAGGAACTAAAGTAGCTCAAATGAGTTCGTCCGACCCGCTTTTCAGTCCCTGCTAGAGAGCAGGGACTGTCGTGGGAGAAATAGTTCGTACGTCTGATTGGCTGTGCGGAATGC